GAGAAGGAAGTGGTCATTCCAAGTTGACTCACCCTTTGGTGAGCCACTGGAGGGGTAAAATTTAGAGGAGGAAGTGGCCATTCCATCTTGACGACCCTTGTAAGTGAGCAAACATGCGGGAAAGGGCCTGTGTGCGCACTTGAGTCTCCCCGATGGACTGTGTGCGCGCATGAGTCAAATCTGTGTGCGCAGATGAGGCGCAAGTGCTAACAAAATGTGTGTGCGCAGATGAGCCGCCGCCCTTCCAATAAAGCCCCGCGACAATTACATTCTTCACTAAGCCCCGCGACAATTACATTCTCCACTAAAGCCCCGCGACAATTACATTTTCCAATAAAGCCCCGCGACAATTGCATTCGTTAGCATAAAAATAGAAACCCTCAGCATAAAAATAGAAACCCTCAGCATAAAAATAAAAACCCTCAGCATAAAAATAAAAACCCTCAGCATAAAAATAAAGACCGTTAGCATAAAAAAAAGAACCCACCCAAATCCAGCAAAAAAAAAGAACCGTTAGCATAAAGAAAAAACTATTCCCGTGAAGAATCAATTTTGAAAGGTCTCCTTTTCAACCAGCCAGCATGGAGTTTGCTTTTCAGGTTCAGCAAAGCTGAAATGTCCTGCGAGCCGGGATGGTGGCCCAGTTCTGTAGAACCAGTCTCAAGTGGCCAAGATTGGGGGATGAGGGGCAAAAAACCCTCCCTGAAAGTCCAAGACTATTTCAATCATGGTCTTTAGGTGATCCGAAGAGGAACTTCCTTTACATAGGATAGATGGTGCCAACAATAGTCTTTGGACTTCTAAGAGCACTGACGTTGAGATTGAGGTGTTATCATTTTCCATTGAGTGCCTGTGCCCCAAAGAAATAGCAGCACAACTTCTGTACATTGCATGTTTATGTGAACCTGACCAGCCTTTTGGAGTCAATGGCTGATCTGGATTTTGTAGTCAATGCCAGATCAGACTGCCTCCTTGGGATGTCTGGTTGAAATCGGTGGGCCGCGGGCCAGGAATCCTATAGAGACTCGCTTTCGGGATCGGTGGCCCAACTCCTTCGCGTGCACGGACCGTCGCCGTGGAATATTTCACTCGGTGCCGGTTCGCGGCGACGCGTCCGCGAAGCGCCACGAGGAGAACCGACGCTTGCGGGAGCATCTCCAGGACTCTGACCAACGGTGCTACACTGCAGTGCAGCTGCTTCAACAGGCCAAGCACTGTTCAGCGTGATGTCCGACGCTGCTTCAGATCGTCCCGGTGTGACTGGCTGGGTCACAAGGCTGAGATCCAAGGAAGTGAAAACTGCCAGGAGTCACAAAAGGGGTGGTTTTTGGTCTCTAAGTGAGTGGATAATGGGGATAGGGGTCCTCCAAGCTCGGCACCCCGACATGTGACTCCTGGTGAGGAGTTCCATCCAGAATCCAGAACGACCGGTCTGGTTGGGACTAGTCACCACGACCGGAGCTTTTTTGGGATGTCCCCTCGGGTGTTGTATCCTCGTGCCGGGCCAACCGCTTCTGGGGGCCCAACCGGTCGGTCCGAGTGGCCGACCGTTGGAGCGGCAAGAGCGTAACTCGCCAGCCCCGAGCCTTCAAAGACTCGACCTGACCTGGGGGGGTAACATGGTGTAACTGATGGAACACAGTTGGTGTTTAGGATTCAGAAAAGGAATACAACACTTGTTGGTGGAGCTCTGGGGAGATACCTTTCTTAGCTCCACCACGTGGATGTCAGACGCGGGGAGATACTAAGCGCGGTTCTTGGGCTGCAGATGTTGGTGAGATCAAGACTGGGGACCAAAAGGCAGTTGAAGTGGAACATCTCTGGTGGGTCAACTGTCTCATGTTGTGTTTCGGCGCTCTGAAACCAGTGCTTCGAAAGCTTTCCGGCTTTCGATGGAGGACGGGGACGCCACTTTCATCCGAAGCCTCACGCGGGGATCGCATGGGCTATTTCTGCAGATCCTGGAAATCCAGTCCCAACCAGAAACAAACGGTTGTTCCAGGCATTGAGATCCTTGAATTACATAGGAAGTGGCTGGGACTCGGGAAACATCCACTTGTTTTTCTGATTGGGACTGGGTTTGCCGGGACTGTTTTGGGACTGAGCACACAAGCAAGAGCTGGTTGAGTTCAACCAGGTGTGTCGAGTTGGTTTGATGGCTAAAACCTTCCACTACTGGCCTATAATAGCAACCTAGAAGCAATGGCCTCCAACCTAGTAGCGATGGGCTCCAACCTATCCATGCAATACTCATAGCTTTAGAAAGCTGACAATTGAAACAATGAAGTGCCCTTTTGGGCTACCTCTGAGTTCGCAACGGTCAGCGCAGTCGCCACGGTCCCTTGTCTCTCCACGAGGCGCAAGATGTTTTGGAACAACGCACCTCGGATGGTGTGGACTCGGAGTACAAGATGAAGGTGTCCATCGAGAAGGCGGAAGAGAAACCTCGCGTGGCAGGGTTGGGGAGGAACGCGCCCACCCGGCCACCAAAGAGGCACCAACCGGGGAGGAACGCGCCCGGTCTCCTTTCCGGAAGGGGTTCGAACCCAGGGTGTCGTTGCCACGTCGCGGCGGTCGCTTTCCCGCCTCTGTAGCAGCTACCCTGAGCTACGTGCTTGGTACGGCGCTGTCGCTTTCCTCTGGGGGTCCCGACTGTGACAGCTTCCGAAGAAAGGGGAAGAAGTATATAGGTGAAGAACAGTGCTGTGTTGACCGGGGTGGAGCTCGGATGGATGTTTTTCAACTCAAGCATCAGCATCCGGGCATGGAGCACTCCCCAAAGCCTCAGGTTGGAGATCTTTCGACGAGCTGGCATGTGGTTTGGTGGATTTCTTTTCTTTGGTGCTTTGGCAGTGGTTTGGTGGTTTGGCAGTGGGTGACGCGATGTCGGGTTCCAAGCTGGGTCCCGTCTTGTGGAGATGCTTTTCGTTCCCTTCTCGTGAGGAGAAGCCCTTGGAGATGACCATGGAGACCGCTTCGACCATGCACAGCAGCCGAGAGGAGTGCGTGCATACCAATGTACAGTAGACTCGATGGTGGAATTAACCCCCCCAATCCGGCATGGATTGTAAAGCACGATCAAACCTTGTATTCATCAAGAGCCTCTACCCTACAAGTTGAGTTTGACTCTATTTGGCACCATTGAAGTGATTGACATGCCTACATATTTTCACCGTCCCAATCCCTGGGTCTACATTAGGGTCTGTAATATGGAGACCTGGAGACCTTATGCCCTGCGCTGTTTTGGGAGGGGAGTGGCCGAGACCTTCGCCGAGACCTTCGAGCTAGGGGGCCGTGAACACTGGGGAGACCTCTGACATCCCCAGGAATCCTTACCGGCGGAAGGGCTTTTAGGATGTTTCTCTTATTTTTCAGCCAGCACCCGACTCCTGCCAGGTCTCCTCCAAGGCCCTTCCCAACAACCCTCCAGCTTCGGAGACCTGTTTGTCATCGGGTGCTGGTAGAGGGTCGTTGGGGTAGGTGGAAATCCCGTTTCCCAACTCTTCTTTTCCCCACAAGCGCCACCAAGGTGGGTGAGGATTCCACCGGAAAAAAGAAGGGCCATGAAATCCATCACCGCAAGCGCAAGCCCTGAAGTTTCTAACTTCATGAGATGTTTTTTTGAGGCAAAAAAGCAAGTGGTCCTGGACCTGGCAAAAAAAAACACATACATGACCATGTGGAGTCCTTTTGCCTCACTCACCTCATGAGACTTTTAATGCTGAATCCATCCACGCTCGACCTGCAGGAGAGCGCTCAGCCCTCTCCCGTGTCCCCGAACGAGCGCCCGGCGACGCAGCCGGCCTTGCACGTGCAGCCGCCCAACCTGGCAGAGCCGCCCAACCTGCCCAGCCTGCTGGGAGGTGCGGGCAGGGAGAACGAGAAGCGTCCAGCCGGGCGCGTGCGACCGAATTTCGAGACGCCCCAGGGATCCGAAGAGTCCGGAAGCCCAAGCATGAAGGGTGGCGGTACCGTTGCGGCCTGGTGGTTGGGTCAGACCCTGACTCACAGGTTTCTGGGCGAACAGGGCCTGGAGGGATCAGGGTTTCACACCTGGACTTCAGAGAATCACCTGGTTTTTTTAAACCTCCTGGGATGGCTAAGCGTCTCAGGTGACGCTTCAGTGGATCCTTTGGTCCGAAGGCTTCGGCTTCGGCCGAGCACGTGGCCTCGGTGGTCAGACGTGGTGGGTCGGTCGATGTGTTAGACCATTGGGAAGAAGAGAAGAAGGCGGGTCATACTCTGAACTACAGAGGTCGAGGCGCGTCCCTGGGTTTTTGGAAGGCAGGAGGGATTCATGGCAGGTCCACCTAGTGTGGGAGAAGGTTCATGGCATAATGGACCCCAGCGAGGGGGTGAAAGTTGAACCGAAACGCATTCTTTGTGAATCCTGGCCCGTGCGCCTTCCCTTTGATCATTGAAAGAGCCTGGTCTTTGAATGTGCGCTCTTTAATGATATAATATATAGTAAAACTTAGTAAAACGCTAGTTCCTGAAACCATTCAAGCCATGGTGGTCACCAGGAATCCAGTCTATAGGCTCTAGCTCCTAGCTTTGGTGAGGGAGCGTTTCCGGCCAAGACGAACGATCCCCCTGTCTAGGTCGGTCGGTCCCACGCTCCGTCGTCACGTCGAAACGGGTCCACGGTGTCGCCCGGAGGCGCCCCTCCGAGTGAGAAGCGGATCTTCTACGCCGGCTCCACGCTGGGCCCGAACCGCATGGTGCGAAGACCCGTCCGTCACACCACGGTGGGAGGACATGGGAGGACGGATGGGGAGGACGCAGATTGGAGGATCACAGGTTCTATTTTAGATAAGGAAGAAGTTCAGAGAAACACCCCCGAATCTAAGGTGGCCTCCCTTCTCACTTCTGTGAGAGGGAGGCCACTCCATCTCCTAAATGAATCTAAATGAAGCGAACACGAACGGGGGAGGTCAGGTCTAACTGATCCATTCCCAGGGTGAGGCGTTGGATCTCCTGGACGGTTTGCTTGGACGTCTGCGGTTTGGGTTGTCATCAGATGCATCCACCGTCATCCACCGTGATCGGTTTGCTTCTATCTGGTGGCCCTGCCGCAGATGACCCGGCCAAATGGATTAGGCATCAGCTTTGCAAGCTGTTCTGCCCCGCTTAGGGTCACCCTGCTTGAGAGCATGACGTTGGAGGTTTATTTCCCCTTCGGTTTCAGCCTGGAAGATTTCAAGCTCAAGCTCCATCTCCGAAAAACCATTGTTACGACACTTGCACCATCTCGGCCAGAAATGGAAATTCACTCGTTTCACACCTGGCCCGACCTCACCTCACAGCGACCTCACCTAACCCTCACTCGGAACTTTTGTGACCTCACGTAAGGTCGCCCAGTCGATCACCTGAAGAGGTTCTGACTGGGCCCAGTCAGCCCACAGCACTGCTGAGGTGAGTTGCCCAATGCCTCCTCCCTTCGGCTATCAGCCCATGCAACTGCCACAGGCGAGTGAGAACACCAGCCAGCGAGCGGTGGGGAAAAACCCGCGGGCTTGATGTTGCGCCTGCTTGTTTTGTTCACCATGGCCTCTCTGGGTCCTGACGCCCGTTCAGTTGCTGCAAAGAATGACTCTATCCACACACGGTTGTGAGACGAACATGTTATCTTGTTTTCTGGCGAATGGGAATATCTCCAGATATCTCCAATATCAGTAAGCTTGTTGCGACCAGTTCTTTGGGTCGGACCTCCACCATGCGGTTTTTTCCACCCTTTGCCTCGGAAAGCGCCTCTCTTCCAGTTGCGCCGGTGACGAGGGGTTCTTCACACGCGCTTCTTCGTCAGCTTCCGGCCACAGGGTCACCTGGATGAACAACCCCTACTATATATATACCCTGCAGGTCGGCCGACATTTTAAACAGGGTGGTTGTCCAACCGCCATTTTCAACAGACAACCGACATTTGGGTGGATGTCTCTCGCAGGCATTTGGCCTTGGAATGGTCCATGTCAAGCCAACCGTCCATGTTAACCTCACCCAATCCAAAAAACAAAACAATTGATAACACCTTGAAGTCATTAGAGCCTAATTCAATCCACTCCAAATCGGTGCTCGCTCTTTGGGCCTCCACTCCATGGAAGATTGGAAGATGAGCTCATGAGCGAGTGGATCATTTTGATTGAAAGAAGCTGGGGCTGCAATTCGTGATAGCTCTTAAAGATCTTAGGCTCCTAGTGGTGATGGACACATCGAAGGGTTTGATCCTTGAGGACTTGGATTATGCCAATGAAAAGGGCTTTGCTACACAGCAGGGTGCCCAAAGTGGATGTGACAGTATTTTTGGAAAGTTATGATTAGTTTCTTCCCAGATCTACCCAAAGGGTAATCATCCCATCGGCCTGAGGGCTACATGAAGAAAATGAAGACCGTCGATATGCTATGGCCGATGCTGATGAAGGCCGGCTGTCTCGCGTAAGAGTGTGCTGCAGTGCAGTTCATGGTTCGATCAACGAAACCGTGTACGTACAAATGAGTCTGTTTTGGATTTCTTTGGTCCAAAATTCTGATCAGCCCATCATCCCTGAGCCGCACGACCCTGCTTCGATTGTTTTGGACCCATCCCATGGCCGGTGCTGGCGGTCTGGATTGCAGCGCTGACCGCATCACCCACCTGAAGGCAGTGGTGGTGTGGATAAAGATTTTGCATGTCCTTTTGTTTTTCAATCTAGAGTTCGATCCATGGAACCCCCGTGTTACTGGAAAGGCCTTCTACGCTGACATCCTGGAGGACCAGAAGTTCATTCGTCAACGTCGAAAGCTTCTCCGACAACGAAAAGGCCTGAAGGACACCGATTCCACAGCAGCTTACCAACATAATTGTTTTTTTGAACCTGCTGCGTTGACTCTTTCAAACAAAAAACTTACCTCTGTATAAGGTACCAGCTTTCGCCTTCATGCTGCGGTTTTCGAAGAAGGAAAACATTCAAGAGAATGAGGCAAGGTCATTTTAGTTAATTTGCAAGTAACACCCAACCTATATAATGATGATATCATATTAATATTATGTTTTTTACTATTTGTCCTATATTATATTTGTATGCCCGCCGGCCCTGGGCAGCTTGAGCATGAAGAAAACGCTGACTTTGCTATCTACTTCCTCGCAAGCTTTGCCCATGCGATTCCATCTGAACCAGAGATGAGAGTCATTTGGATCAATTAGCAGTGCATTGAATCAATCAGTGAGTTCATGAACTGTTTGATCGAACTCATGATCTTCAGTGCGTCACGTGACCATTCAATTTGTTTACCATAAATCGAGCGACCTAGGAGGCTTTGGTCTGGGCAAGTGAGCACTACCAATTGAACAAGTTAGCAGACCATGCGGCCCACGTTGTTACTTGGTTCAACTGAGCGTGCTTGCTCAGCTCATCAGGTTCATATTAAATCTGATGTTTGCTCCAGGCTTGGGCTGCAGTGGAAGCTGGGGTGCAGAGGAGCTTCATGGTCTACGCACTGACGAGATTCCAGAAGAATCCAGCAGCAAGGTGGGCCTGGGTAGTTTGAGAGTCTGCTTCATTCACTCTGAATTTCCATCACCTCAATTTCAATAATTCTTGTTCTATGCCAGATCCTCGAAGAGCTTCATGGCACAAATCAAAGATTGTATCAGAAAGAAGTTGGAGGTGGATCGATGCATGTGCACATGTGCACATGCCTGCAACTGTGCCGTGTGTTTTTCTCACAGATTTTTCCACTCGGTGCCAAAACATCTTTCTCGTGCCCCGGCCTGCAGATGGAGGGGCAGCTGACAGCCGAAGGAAAGAAGACAGCGACCAGAGGGAGATCATCTTCGAAGGACTTCATCCAATGTTTGTGCACAGAGTGTTCATCGTCTGGCGACGCAGGACTTTGAGAAGCCGGAGGATGAAGCTGAGAAGCCGGAGGATGAAGCTGAGAAGCCGGATGATGAAGTTGTGGAGTCAGGCATCAAGCATTTGAGTTCATGCAGGGTTCCAAAAAGTTACTTCCTTATATTTTTGCGCACAGAACTTAAATAACTAACTCTTGTGGCTCCGCCTCCGAAGGCGACGATGCAAAGCAAGATCCAAAGCCGAAGGTTCATCCTGATAATGTAGAGACTTTGCCTCTTTTTCCAGAAGCTGAAGGTGGCTATGGGGATCTTGGAGTCGAGGACACTGCAGAGGAGGAGCACCTGACCCAGGATCCTCCAGTGGTTGTGGAGGACGAGACTGAGGAGCATGTTGAACAGGTTGAGTCGCAGGTTCTTGAGATGATGCACGAGTCGCAGCTTTTGGATGACTCTGAGGAAGCTCTGTTTGGAGAGGGTGAAGCTGGCAGAGTCGAAAAGGAGGAGAAGGAAGAGAAAGAAGAAAAAGAGGAGCCGGAGGGTGATGCTTCCAAAGCTGAGGAAGAGCATCTGGAGGAGGGGCCAGGTGCAAAGGCTGAAGCCAAGGCTGAAGAAGAGGAAGCACAGGAGGCAGAGGTAGAAGTAGAGATGAAGGCTGAAGCGTCAGATCTTGAAGATGCAGCCAAGGGAACATTCAAGGCTGGGGTTGCTTCAATGATCATGTGGAATATTGATTCGACATGATGATATCATGATCTGATCATCATGATCCTTAATAGCTTGTGTCCGACTTGTGTCCCATGCAGGACCGAAAGCCACTTTTGCAAGCGGCTCGAGAGCATGATCAACAAGTGGCCGACAGATGCATCCAGATCATGAACGAGCTCTACAAAGCAAGGAAGCTGCAGTGCACTGAGGAGGACATAATTCAGGCTTGCCTGGGGTTCCAATCATCTCGCGGCATATAATTCTATTTGACTTGCATGCGTGGCAATGCCTGCAATATGCTCCTTGCCAGGCCCAGCGAAAGATGAGGCAAGCTGCTCGAGAGATGAAGAACGAAGGAGATGACATGGAAGATGAGGACAGAAGGCTGCGAGAGGAGGAAGAGTCCGAGGAGAAGCCCAAAGGTCGTGGTCGTGGACGAGGCCGAGGTAGGGCAGCCAAAGCAAAAGCAAAAGGGCAGGCAAAGCCGAAGGCAGTGCCGAAGAGGAAGCAGACCAAAGCCCAAAGGAAGGCTGATGCTGATGAGGAGGAAGCTGAGGAAGCTGAAGAGGAATGTCCGGAAGCTGAGGAGTCGGAGGCTGCAAGGGGCCCTACAAAGGCTGTGAAGCAAAAGGTCCGACAGGCAATGGAGAAGTGGAGCCCACAATCCAAGCTTCGTCGTGCGAACACCCACCTTCATTCTTCAGTGGAGGTGTTGTCATCAGGTCAGTCAGCTCCATCAAAGCGGGTCAAAGCCCACTTGGAAAGTGCGAAGGCTGCCAGAGCTTCCAAGGCTAAAGCCAAGCCTGCTGTGGTGCGGAAGCTGGACAATGAGTTTGAAGCAGCCGCAGGCAAGGGTGATGAGGAGGAACCAATCAAGGAGGCACCAGGCAGGAAGTCTGCTTTGAGGAAGCGACCTGCTCCGCTACCACAACATTCTAGTGCTGAGCCTGCTCCGCCACCAAAGTCCCAGAAGGTTCTGCCGCAGCCGCGCAGTAAGAAATCTGATGATCCGAACTTTTTGGAAGCTCGGCTGTATATCAATTTGGCAATTTTACAAAATATGAAATTCGATCGATCGATATGAGATTTATGAGATTGAAATCTTCCGCATTTCTGTGCTGGCCGGCCCATTGCAACTCATCAAGTTATATCTGAGGAAGCGGAAATTAAAGCTATCCAGGAGGTGGCAGAGACCGACCCCGAGTTCTTTATCCTACCTGATGAGATGGCAAAGCGCCTTGGCCCATGATGTGCAAACAACAAAAATATAATCACTATCGATTTCTATGGGCCATCTCATTATGTCTTGATGACCTCGATATGATCAATGTTGCTTTCAAATTTCTGTATAACAAAGGTCCTTCACTCTCTACATGCCGAAGGAGAAGCTGAAAGACTATTGTCCCAATGATGGTGTGAAACCTATTGGAGTGCTGTCCCTCTCCTGAAATTTAGCGAACTTCAAGATTATCATAGATTATCAAAAGCAATAAAAATAAAGTCTATTGGCCATAGTCTGGTGAGTGTATATCATCAATCTAGAGCTAAGGCTTTACGCCCGATCCTACTATGTGAAACCAGTGCCAGAAGCGCGATTGGTTGCCATCAACAAGGAGCATCTAAAATCCTTTACTGCAACTTGACACTTTCGAGATATGTCATTGAAGCAGTGCTGCACTGGACATTAGCTGAATATGTCCATGACCTGAGGGGAACAACTCCAAAGGGGTATCTATTGCCTGGGGCAAGCATGGTGGACCATATTCTGCGTTCAACCCTCAAATATGCATTTCATGCGTTGCAATAAACTGCAACATAATTACTCTTGGTCGCTTGGTGTGAGGTGGGAGTGGGCCAAGATGTTGGCCGGCTGGGTGCCTATCCAATGATGGATAGCTGGATAGCTGAGGAGCCAGACTTGTCTTTCTTCTGG